TACGAAAAGGTAATATCCAAGTATTGAAACATTCAACAATGTTGGATGTGATGCGATTATATGTGGCCCCAAGGAAAAAGGCGTTAGCCCAAAATTGACACGGTTGTGTCATTATCCAATATTATGCCTGAGGATCAGCTTCCTATATTCTTGATATCACTTCCTTAAACTCTTCTACTCTTAGCACATGGGCTGCCTTCCATACTATCGTCACTAAAGTAGTATTTTTAAACTGCCGGTGAAAGTTCTTTGCCAAATGGTACATGCAAAACCCTAGATAATAGTTCAGAAAGATGACTTGTAGCGCTTGTAATAGCTATTTCTGTCAGTCTGAAATAATTGTCAAATGAGGCAAGTCTTACCGTGCATTGAGCAACTATTTCCAGCAATTAAGAAACCATACCCAATATTTTTGCCCTCATTCTCTACCACAATGAATACTATCAGGAGCATGCCATCATCAACATCCACACCAATAGAGTACAACATAGTTCCCTTGCATGTACCCTTCAGAAATGTCCCATCCAAACCCATAAGAGGCCTACAACCATACAAAAATCAGCTGAATCAAGAATGAAAGCGCAATAACATAAGTTGGAATCTATAGTGAGGATTTGTAAGTATGTAGCTTACAGTTTTGGGGTTGGTGACCCATAGCTTCTCAATGTATATGGGTAGCTCTATACATGACAGCGTATTTAACCCCATAGTCATTTCTATCGCAAATCTTTCCCCCTCCATGCTTGCATGTATGACAACCTCACACCATGTTCATGTTGAACATCACTTATAATATCTTTGAATATCAAATTTATCTGGTCGGTCAAATGAGGTTTAATTTTCCTTTCTACCCACTGGCTTCGTGCTAACGGCTAGTGAGCCCTTCCTATTGGACCCATACAAGTGTAGTCATTTACCAACTCTCTCACCTTAAAATACATTGTGGTGGGAATTCTAGCGCATTGCACTTTCCATTTGCACCCCTCCCAATACATATTGTAACTAAACGATCTTGGTCTATCTTCTGGTACGTCATGATAAAATTTTGACATATGAAGTAATCTACTAAATGATTATGGAGAAGCATGACATCCTCGAATTCTTATCCCACGTACACATGAAGATGCGAATGGACTGAACTGCATGGAGATTTCGAAATAGACATATCATCGGGATCAAGGCGGATGTGTCTCGCACTCTTGGAGGCATCACATGCATGTACTACATTTTGGACGACAGGGATGGGCACTAGTTGAATGAGGCACCTGAAAAGAGAATTTTAAAGGATTCAATAAGTATTAACTACAAATAATGAAATATATGATAAATATACATGTCATAAATATTACCTGATCCTCGTTGATGGACCACTTGATGGAACTATGCCCGTTACATCTGATTGATGTTCGCTATGTATTGCTTCATATGGTTAGTTCACAATACATACATGAACATTGGAAGCCACTAACAATATACATGCCACATCCACATCTTCATTTAGCTATATTAAAATTTAATTTTCTAGATACATAATTGTCATATTGCTAGCGTCACAGCGTACAATAGACCCCATATGCGTCTTTAACTCCTCTAAAGAGTGAGTTCCATTTTACAAGGTAGCTTTCACATTCGTCCATCATTTAAACTTCTCTCAAAGGAATCACCAGAGCAATATAATAACCTCACTCCACTTGTGGCTATTGTGATGACTCAAATGACGGCTTTGTAGAGTCAATAGGAGATAACCCTAGATAAAGACACCCTAAAGAAAAAAAAAGAATATAAACCTAAATTAATTGTATTTACAATTATACATTAAGATTAATTGCTAAAAGGAATGTCATCCATTTCACAAGATACTGAATATACGGGCGTAAAAATGATAATGTAGATAAATTCAGTGAGCCACTGATCAATATTACAATTTGCAACGGTTAAATAGAGCACTCAAATGTCAATAAACCTACGAAACCTCGCGACATTATTTCAATGTCCATAAAACATAATATATGCATCCAAATATGAGAAGCAAAATTAAATAAAGAAAATTTTAATATCACCCAATTCTCATAATGCACATGAAACATAGAGATATTGATTCAATCGAATTGATAAAACATAAAATGGGCATCTAGATATAAGGATCAACATGAAAGATATAAAATTGTAGTTACTTATATTTAATATGCTCTACTAGTAATAAATGTAGAAATTTTGTATTAAATAAAAATATTAAGCAAATACAAATAGGAACCCTTCAGAGCTCTAGCTTTCCAATATTTATAGAAATTGACACATGAAATTTACATTCATTTTGTGTACCTCAAAATCTGTTTTGCCCAACTTCAATGTCTTTGCAATGTCCAAATACAAAACCCTGGTAAAAAACTGTAGAAATTTAGAGCAAACGAAAAAGCGGTTCAAATAGCTAGAGGGTATGTGAGAGTGAACTCAGAGGGGATGCCAACATAGAAAGATAAAGTGTGACAGAGAAGATAGATTGAGAGTAGAGAGAGAGAGAGAGAGAGAGAGTAGAGTAGAGTAGAGTAGAGAGAATAAGTATAAAGAGAGGGAGAGAGATGGCAAGGGGAGACGAGGGGTTCAAATTTTTGTTCTTAATGCTATTTAAGCCCTATCACTTTTAAAAACGGAAAAAAAAATTAACAGTCTAGTGGTCCGATTTTGAAAACATCGGACCGCTTTGAAGTGTTACCAAGAGATACGAGGATTAAAAAATTGGACTTGGAGCAAACTTGGTAAAAATTAAAAAATTTTGGGGTTACCAAGCGGTTTGAGGTTTTAAAAATTGGATCGAGGGAAAACTTGGCCAAAAAAAAAAAATCGAGATTCTCGTTCTTCAAGGTAATAACGGTTTATTTTCGAGCCATTTCGTTATAAGGTATTAAAAACAGTCCGCACGTAACTTTCCAAAAAATAAAATAAAGACACTTAACACTCTACCATTGTAAACATTTCTTTAAATAAAACAAAATATAAAAGATATTTAAGAAAGAAATTATTATTATTATATAAGCTTAATTCTACGTATAGAAAAATAAAATTAAAATATAAAACACAATACCATACAACATTGTAGACATTTCTTAAATAAAATCAAATATAAAATATTTTTGAGGAAAAAATATTATTGTTATTTTTGGTAAATGACAATGGCTTCATCCTCCCCTTATTTTAAAAGTCAAATTTGCTCCACCATAGGATTTCCTTTTAATTTAAGAGTTCAGGAACGGAGAACTCACGTCATCATTCTCAAGTTAATTAACATCCTTTTTATTCGGGCCAGTATTGCCACCGTATAATTTTGATATGACCACCTTGCTTTTAGTGCCATCAATAACTTATTTTGTTTAGCAAGGTGACCATCTTCCCTAAAACGCGTTTAGCAGCACGTCGGGCGAGCCTTATCCTGGCTTGGGTTGGATAAGCGTAGTCCCTGGGGCAGGATGGTCCCAAATAAATGAAAAAAAAAACAAAAAACAAAATAAAAAAAGGACAGTCGGGCCAAAGTTTAGGGTGGCAATGGTTTTTAGGTCTAGGACTCGAAAAATATATTATGGGGCCCAGACCTAACTAGATCTGTAGTCACCAAACACAGATCTAGATCGAGACCCGAATAATGTGGGACTCGGACCCGATCGACACAACCCAAAACTCAAAATATTTTTATATATGTTAAATATGTACATATATTATTTAAGAACAATGATCCAATGCAACAATTGTATCATAGTATAATACAACGATACTTCCAAAAAACCACGTTTGTGGACTTTGTATAACTTCAAATTTGCACACACACTATCTTCATCTCAATAATCAATTCCCGCCAAAAAAAAGTTTAGTTTGAACCCTAGATATGGTCAAAATGAATCCCTTTAAAAAACGAATCTAGACCATTCATTTTGTGAATTTCAAGATCTTAGCCTTTATAAACTCAAAATTATTATTTTTCTTTTTTAACATTGTTCATCTAATGATAATAAAACCATCTGAAAAAAATGAAAATGAAAAAATCCTTCTAAGGCCTAGATCTAAACATCTCATCAAAATGAACGGCTTATGTTAATTGGACTAAAAAAATACTTTCTGGATTGCGTTTTCAATTTTTTCTTTATTTGTGAGTGTTCATTGAGATGGTTTTTTGAGGTTGTTGCATCATATTACTATATAACAGTTGCATAGTAATATAGAGCCTAGGCTCTAAACAATCAAATTAGAACCTACCTCAAAACTTTCACTAGAATAGGTTGTTTTGATGCCCAAATATTATCAAATTGATCATCTCGACATCAAGATGCATGGATATAAGAAAAAAATGGATTTTATGTTTTGGAAATAGTGCATCTTGAAACGCATTTTTGGACTGTTAATTTTTAAGTTATTTAAGTTTTCATAGATCTGCTCGATCTACTCTATTTTTGAAGCTTTAAATTTTCTAATTAAAGATGAAAATATATTTTAAGGTTAGGTAAAGATTTCAAATATTGAAATTTGAAACTATATTTCTTGATACTATTTGAACGTGGGCTCTAATTTGATTGTTTAGAGCCACGGCTCTATATAAACTTCACCCTTTAAATATTATAAATAAAAATATATATTTATGTTTATTTAAATATTACTTAAATGTTATATATTAAACATTACTTAGACATCAACACTATTTGGGCAATCGAGGTTTAGGTCGGGTCAACTCAAACCAGACCTGACCTGATGGGTCTAATTTTTATACCCATACACAGAAGCAGGTCGGGTCTACTTGTTGGGTTTGGGCCTATTGTGAGCCCTAGCCCAGCCCTAGGCCTTTGTGGGCTTAGCCCTTTTTAGGTCCAGGCGGGCCGCCAGCCCATTGCCAGCTCAAATATTAATATTTCGCATTAGTCTAATTTATTTATTTAGATGAAATTATCAAATCATTGGGTTCCAATAGTGTATCCCTTTAATATTATTTAAGTCTCCCAGACTTCTGGCTTCGTCCCTCAAGTTTTCCCAGGGAGAGAGAATGGATGTGTCCTCCGCTTTTGAATTTGCTCTGCTGCGAAAAAACTTAGGGTTTTGGACTTATCAGAACATGGACATATATCACCATCACTCCATATACAGAACATGAAATCATTGCTCTATCACTATATATACAGTTTTCTCTCTCTAGAAATCGAGTGGACCTAGGGTTTCGTTTGATCGCCTTTGTGGTTCGTAGAGAGAGACGCGTACTCAGAGGGAGGAAAAGCAGGGCCTCCTGGGACGCGTCTGTGTTTTTTTTTAGATATTCCTCTCTAGACTTTGTGGGGAATTATCGATTGAAAAGAGATGTTTTGGTTGCGTCTGGTTCTTTTTTAGATATTTCTCTCTAGACTTTGTGGGAAATTATTGATTGAAACGAGATGTTTTGGTTAATTATGGTGATAGATGAGGGGATTTTCCCTTTGGCTCACCTCAGGAGCTTTTCTGCTCGTCCTGAGAAACTCTTGATGCAAGAGAGATATAGCAGGTAATTCTGGTTTCTTTACGGGAGGGAAAGGTGATTATTCTTTTATTTGTGGAAAGAGAGCTGGTTTTTTATTATAGGAATTGATTAACTTTAAGTACTTGGTGGTAGTTCGTTCTCCCTACTCAGATTCTTTGAGCTTTTTGCTTGAACGGCAAGGATTATTGGGAGCTTGAGCTTGGGAATTAACACTTTTGACTAGAAAATTGTGGCTTTTCTATCTGTTTTTCCTCTCTCCTACGAGTGTTCAACCATGAGTGCAAGTCTGAACTTATTCATCCTGAATTCTATTCTAACCTGTTTTAAGTTGAATTTTCATGGAGTTACGTGTTCCTAACTTTTTATCTCTTAGGTGGAAAGATGAAAAAAACATTGTATTCATTCTTTTAAGCAGTAAATACTGAGAAGATTAGAAGGAGAACAATTTGTGGACTATGCGAGTGAGTGGGGTTCTCTTTGAACCATCCATCTTCAGTTTTGGAAATTTTGTTTCTTGAGCTATAATGGCTCCACAGTACAGTAATTCACAGATGGAATCTGATGTGATTGAGCAGTTGATCACCAGGTTTCTCACGAAGAGCCTGCATATTATTTTAGAGGCGAGGTGCCCCTATGGCTCTTCTCGAGGCCACAGTGGTGACCATATTGGGTCCTCTCCATCATCTTTGAGCTCTTCTTCTAGTATGAGAAGAGATAAATGGTTTCTTTTAGCTCTAAAAGAATGCCCTGCTGCTCTTGAGAGTTTGGAACTAAGGCCCCAAAGCTCTCTTGAGCCTATGGTGGTGGATGTGATACTTTTGCAGAGGACCAATGTAGAGAGAGAAAATTCCCCTGAATTTATTCCCCCAACATCAAAAGAATGTTTATTGAGAAATTTTTCATTGAATGAATGCCGTGTCAGTTGTTGGAATTCAGGAGATGAATATAGCCCTTCATCTGAAACCGTTGTTGAAACAGTTATTGAGAGATGGGTGGTGCAATATGATTGTCGGAAGACGAATTCTAGGGATGCCCATACAGGGAGAGTGAGTTTGGGTGGTGGGCAATCAAGAAAAGAAAGTGGGAAAAGGGGTAACAGTAAATCTCGAGCTTCTAAAGGAGGGGGAGGCATAGAGATAGAAACTGGGTCTTCTTGTGCCTCTCAAACCAGATTTAATTCCCATGAATCCCAATTGGCATATAAGAAACTTTACAAACGATCGACCATTTTGTTGCGTTCCTTGTATTCATTTGTTAGGCTCTTGCCTGCTTATAGGCTTTTCCGGTTACTTACTGCTTCAAGCCAGATTTACTCTTCTGTGCTCACTTACAAGGTCTTCTCCTTTGTCGAGCCTCTTTCTCGCCTAGCAGAGGCAGAGATGATGCATTATACATTTGCTCCCATAGAAACTACTTGTGGTAGGCTTTGTGTATCTGTGTCTTATCGACCTACATTGGTGGATTTGAACTTGGAAGCCTCTACCCCATTGTCCCCAAAATTTATACCCGACTATGTTGGGAGCCCAACTACTGAACCAGTAAAGAAGCTATCATCTGGGTCTCTCACTCCTTCCAAGAACACAGGGGTTTGTGGTGTTTCTTGTCCATCAGGTGTGCCATTTGCTAGGCGACATAGTTGGGGTAATGACCTTTATAGAGCTGCTCCTTCAGGATACTCTAATTCATCACCCTCTTATCCCAATTATCCATCTCCTTCTCCCTCACCCACCTATTCCGATTCTCGAGCCTCACTTTCTAATCTCTCTCGCCACCGTCTCCCTCCTCGTGGCCCTCTACCCATGGAACATTCTCCAACTTTTAGCTCACCTATCAATCCTTCAAGCACCCCAGGTTCAGGAAAAAATTTGGATCACCGGAAAACTACAAGTTTTGATGAGTATTGGCCATCCCCTCCTTTTTCGCCATCATCTACCCCTTCTCCCCCAACACATTTGTCCTGGTAATAATCTTTCAAGGGCCATTTCGCGTGCAGAAAGCGCTCCTGTTATTATCTCGTTTGACATGCATGGCAGGAGATTGTTTACGCCCAACTGTTGTGATTGGAACAATAATTATCTGCCTCCCCTTTCTCCGAAAAATAGGAAACCTGACTGTACCTCTCAGCCTGATCATTTGGGATCACACATTCGTCAGTTTTCAACATCTCAGAGGTCTCCATCTGAGAAAAAGTTTCATAAGAAGCCTGATACACCAAAAACGGGAGAGTTCCAAAGTGGAATGGGGGCCATACGCACTTCTTTGAATCAGAAGGTACTATACTTTTGACCAAATTGTCTTGTACATTCATCTCTGGCTTCAAAATTCTTGTTCACTTCAATTACTTTATTTTATTTATTCTGGTCATTTGGTTTGTTGGGAATAAATAATATCGGGTCAGGTGGTTGTTCTTTTGGTTGCTTTATTTTAGGAAAATCCTTTACTTTGTTTGGGATAATCTTTTACTTTGTTTGTTTATAGGCTTTCTCAAGTGGCACTGAGGATTTTCTAAGTGGCCCCGCAATGAAGATTTCATCAATTAGTTCGCCGCGAGCGTCAGTTTCTAGGAGTTCTAGTAGGTCTTTGCAAGATGACATTGATGATTCTGATTTCTCTTGTCCCTTTGCAGTAGATGATGATGACATCACAGATTCACACAACAGGTATGGTGATTTTACCGTCCTTCATTCTGTCTTTACTTATTTTGATCCATATATCATCTGTTTATACTTCCAGTTAGATTTGTGAGTTTCTTCTGTGTTGATTTGTTTCATATTTAAGTGACAAAAAATTGATTATTTTCATATTTATGTGATGGGATTTGTTTAGGTCAGGCTCCTTTAAGTTAGTGCTATAGTCAAAGACCTAGGTTGTTGGATGCTGTATATCTTTATAGAATGCTTGTGTGAGTTTGGATGCTCCAAAACTTGAGATTATTATCCATGACTCCAATTATGTTTAATTATATGGGCAACTACTGTTCTCAAGGTTTTGTGGGATGGACCCTTTATTGTTTACCCAATATGTTACTACTGGATTTCCTTCATTGCTTCAAATCTTGTGTATATGCCCTCATGTCTCAAAAAGTAACTTGGCAGGCAGTGCAATTCAATTTCTAGAGATAATTGCTCGGACAATCTAGCTCATTCTTGTAGCATGCTGTGAAAATTTCTTGCATTTTGCTTGTTAGACTCTCTGTTGAATCTCCTCCAAGGCTCAAACTCCAATATCTCATTACTAAAATGTCAACTGCTTCTCTGACTGATGATTTATGAAGGAAAATGCAATGCTATTGTATTTTTTCTTTTTGATGGATGATGGAATGTCTTTCATTGATGGAGACACAAAAAATAGAACAAATCTACGACACAGAGATACAGAGTAATATAAACAGGTTTTGGAGGACGTAACTTATCACTTAAGTCTCCATTTGGGGTGATCTAAAGCTTAAGTTGAATAGCTCTTCAATGTCTACGACCCTCATCCCAATGGGTGTTTGGTAATTTTGGCATTTCAGGCTCCAATTCATGGTTGAAAACCTGGTGGAAATATCAATGATGATTTTTATTGTATTGTGTTAGTTTTTTCTCTTTATTATTGAATCATTATTATAAGTGGGTTCTAGTTCTTTAATTTCCTTAGGTTATTAAGTTTCTAGAAAGCAAGGTTCCAATCCTAGTTGGATTAGAAACCTTTAAGTCGGATGGTTTCCTAGTGTGTTAGGGGTTTGTTTCCTATGCTTTTAAGAGTCCAAGTATAAGGAAAATTGAAGGTAGAACTCTCTGTTAATACCCATTTTGGCGTATGATGAATTATTCAAGTTGAGTAATAAAATTTGGGTTTCAATTGTGGTGAGAGGCTAAATTCAGAGGAGAGATTGCTCGACTCTTTTTGTACAAAGAGTGATTATACAAGCCCAGCCTAAGTTTGGGGGAGTCTCTTGAAGGTTAGAGCCCCCCGCCCACCTTTTATTTTTTCTCCCTTGAGAATACTTAACTTGTATCAGTATGGCATTATATTGTAATGAAAAAAACCCCACTGAAGTTGTAAGTATGAAAAAATACATCGCACAGGTTGGGCGCCCAGAGGTACACAGAAAGTGTCCAAATATGGGTAGAACACCCATAGGGGCATGAGACATATACAAGAGGATAGAAGACCATAAACCCAAAAGTAGGGGTGACCCTCTATAGCAGCTGTCAGTTGAGTTGACATCTATGAAGATTATCTAGGAATCCTGATAGTGGTGTTCTCTTTTGTGAGAGCATCAGCAGCAGAGTTGGCCTTCCCTCAGGTGCAAGAAAAAGTGACTCAAAAGGGCTTGCAGGTATGAAAAAAATGGTGAAAAATTGGTTCATGTCTCCATGGGCAGGGAGCGATTGAGACATCCAATGGATCATATTTTTTAGAATCTCCCACAATCATCCTCCGAGCCTTTTCCCAACTATTTGGTAAGGAAGTACGTTATAATGAATTAAATTGCTTGAGGCCTTCTAGTTGGGCCATTGTGTCTGTTTTTGTCGATTTGACAATGGAAAGTATCTTGGGAATGAAGCTATTGTGTGACCATCGGTGCCCTCGTATATCTACCTCATAGCCTGCATGTCCCAGGTATCCAAGGGAACATCTGTCCATATTGAGCTTAATCAACCCGTGCTCAGGTGGTCTCCAAAGAGATGATCTAGGGATAGTCACTGGTTGAGAGAGAAGGATAGTCTTCCAATTCAATGTAAAGCCTGCCATTGCAGACATGTTGAAATGCTTTATGCCCCTTAGCCTAGGATATGGCAAACAATTTAGTTCATTCTTGGATTGATTGCGATGTTTCCTCTTCGCTTTAAAGCCTGAGCCAAATGCTCCAAAAGTGGCCATAATAGTAGTGGGCCATCTTTGTGTTGGTGGTGGTTTGGTTGCGTGGAGGACTATGATGTGCATGGCTGCTTGACCGATGGTGTGTCACCCATGACCAATCGAAGGAGTGTAACATCAAAGCCCAAATTTGAACTATGTCCAGGTAGTGCAAGAAGATGTATTCACTAATCTCTTTTTCCCATTTGCACATGATGGAATAGTTGGCGAAGAGAAAGCCCCTCTATAGCTGGTCCCTCGTAAGAGCTCTATTTGACAAGACTGCCAAATTGAAAGCTTGGTCTTTGGGCAGGGTGATGAATAGCTATGCTTTATAAGGGATGGCTATGCTATTGGGGAGTAGTTCCAAGGAGTAGTGTTTGCAACTTGGGCAAGTCGGCTTGGACATGCTCGAGTTGAGCCTGGAACACCCCCAGCTCTGGGGTTATATATAATGTGTATAGGATTCAGGGTGAGTATTGTAGAGATTTGCCCAAAGTACTGCAAAATTCGGGCTGACTTGGGTGAGCTTTCCATAGATTCGACAAGTTTTTATAGTACTCGTCAAATATATATAT